CTCCACTGCAGGAAAGTGAAATTTGAAGTTCTGCCTCAGGGCTGCCAACAGGGATGAGTGCTGATCAATGTTGGTTTGAGCACAGGGACAAAATTTTTTTCACGAATACCGAGAATGAAATGGCACATCGCACGGGTGTGGTGCCGATAGAGAATTAAAATTTCTGCTGCTACCATGAGAATGTGGAGTGTCGGTAGATATGAGCGCGAACGCACGCTCATATGACCGACGGGACACCTTGCCCGCACGTGAAGATGTAGTCGGTTGTTTGACCGTCCGGTCCAACCTCTGCGTCAAAACACAGAAATGCTTTTCATATCCAGACTTCAAACACAGGAGCCCTGCATGCAGCAAATTGAGGCGTGATGTTTCCCAACCCACCGGCTATTTATTGGGCAGCACACAGAGAGAGAGAGCGCTCATTAAGGGCCTGAATGATGGGCGCCGAGAGCTACGTGAACCGCCCCAAAGCCTGATTGCTTGGGCCGCTGCACAATAATGAGCGGCGATTAGCAGGTGCTCAGATGTGCCGCAGACCCAGCGTAGAATCGATGCGCTTGCGCGCTGAACGGGCCTTTGAAGCGGCCCCACTCATTAACGCACCGGCAACACTTAAACGCACCACGATATTTTCGAGGCGTGTTGCAGGTCACGCGGCCGTGTGATAATGCACGGACGGATCTTCGAACGGCGCGGAGGTTGTCTGCGCGTGACCTGTTGTCCTCCTGCGTGTGTGCCGTGACGACAGGTTGTTGCCCCGAAACGTCGCCAATTATATTTTCTTCTTCCTCTGTAGGTGACAAGCACCCCCCCCCCCCCGGATTTACTGACGAAATGTGTCGAGTTTTTGTTATTGATGTTTGGTCGTTTGATTCGGTTTGTAGATCAACGTCAAAAGCAAATCCGTGACACATTATGTCACGGATTGTTGTAAATAATATATATACATTTGTTAGTTTTATTTATAGCTTTCAAACCATCAAAGTCATAGAGGTCTGAGCAGGATTCATCTCTTGTGGAGAAAACAATTTATAAAGTAATTTGCCGATCGCTAAAAACACTTCAAGGGGGCTTGCTTTATTTCCATATTTATGACGGCATTAACAGTTGTGTTTCTCTGGTTATTGAAACTCAAAGTGTCTGATTCACATGCTGACTTGTGTTCATTTTGAATGAAAACTATCCAGCATCTCCATCAAAAATCAAGATCCCCCATATAGCCTGAACAGACTGCCCGAGGCAAGTGCTGTTAGTGAGCGTCTATGAAGGCCGGCACAGCACACGATGGGGTGGCCGGCCAGCACCACGCCTTTGTCTCCCCGGTGGCGATGTTTACACATCGCGCACTAGGTTCTCATTTGAGGCTGAGTCGACCTAGGCGAGACCCAGGACTGATGCAGCGAATCGTCAGTGCTGTTGGCCGTGAGCGGGATTCGAACTTCGCGTCGCCGGGGTTTGTAGTGCAGCGCGCTAACAGCTGCGCAACGCGCACACACACACACACACACGTTCGGTTGAATCGTCAAGGCGATTCATTTCAGCCCTTTTGTCAACGTGAGAATCTCATCTCATGTATATTTATATAGCGCCTAAATCCAAGGCGCTTTGTAACAAGTATTACATTGTACGTAAGATGATAGTGAAACTGTTTACTTAAAACTTTCGTGAATGCAGGAATTGATATTCTTGGTTCTTTCTTTTCTATCAACGTGACTTTACCAAAAGAACCAAGAATAATATGATAGCGGGGTTATTCAAAGTGGTGTTATTATGGTGACAGGAGGATAGGCGAGAGCGGTCAAGGGAGGGATAGTGATAGGGGTTGGGGTAGTGATAGGGGTGGTGATAGAGATAGGGGTTGTGGTTGGGGTAGTGATCCGGGTTGGGGTAGTGATAGGGGTTGGGGTAGTGATAGGGGTTGGGGTAGTGATAGGGGTAGTGAAATAGGTAGTGAAAGGAATAGGGGGGTAGGCCTGGTTGTAGCTGGGGGCCTGGGGCAGGGATTGGCAGTATAATTTGTTCGAAGGTTGATCTCTATTTAAACGAGCCACCAGGACGGGACTCATCACCGCTAGTGCTCCTAAACTATTGGTGAAAATAGCACATTCCCATGGCAAGGACCAGGATGTGCACAGGAAAACTGCCGTTTAATTCTACTTGAATTGGTATTCGTTTAATTGGTTTCGAAGGACGCTGGGCTGAGTCAACCCATTACCAAGATTTTAATTTGCAAGCTTCTGATTGAGCCTGAGAGCTCTAACCGCAGGGACCAACTGGCCAATTTAATAATTACCGCTCATACTTTTCAAATGCATTCACGATTGGATAATGTGTGGGGGAAAAATACACTTGCAGATGGTTGCTGTTGGAATTGTGAAATAAAGTGTTGGAAGGAGTCCCTCGTTTGTGCTGGTTGGCAATAGCTTAGGATATTGCGAGTTTGATTTAAATAAGCCAATTTCAAAACATTTGGAGGTTATGAAAGGCTCTTAGTTAATATGATTTGACATTACCTTTTCATTCTAAACAATCATGAGACATTTTTTATTCTACTTTCTGTCATTTTTTGCAATCTTCTGTCTCGGCAACAAGTGGCTAAACTGCTGGCTTCCACAATCCAGATCATTCCTCTTGATGAGAGTCGATGTGTTTCCTGTGTAAAATTTTTTATCTATTTTTTACTCATGTGTAATTTGCATTCTCTTGCCTGGTAGCAATTGATGCATCAAATTTTCCATCACCGTTATTATCTTTGTCGTTGCAATTGTTGAAATGGTAGCTCTCAGTCCTATCTCAGCTTGACTGAATAATAAAAGATTTGTTAAAAGATCATTCTTGTGGTTTCAAGGTTCTAAAATACACCCTGAATGCACGAAAACCGCTCCGTTGTTTTAAAATGTGCTGCGTAGTTGGTCGCCTAAAAATAAAAATGCATCCATGTGGTTTTGTAAGAGAGCACTCGACTTGGCTGTGAGATTTTAAGGTTTGTCAGCTGATTCCAGCCATCGTCCTACCAAGCTCAATATAAATGGGCCGTATCTTTTGGTGACATTAGCAGCGGTTGTTCTTGTACACGGAATAGAGTCTGTGATGAGATGTTTGATTAAAGTAGTATAGAATCAATGGCCCCCTGTTACTGTCCTGGTGAGCGAGCCGGAGTTTAACAAAGCGAGCAGGAAATCTGTTCACGACTTGTGGCAGAACACGCGAGAAATGTGATGGCAAGGTGCAGGACAAGACGCCGGGGAGTTTGATAGAGAGGATGGTAAGAAAACATTGTGGAAATAATCAAGGGGGAGGGGAGGTTGCGATATGTGGGACGCGTGTGCCGGGCGGAGATCTGGGTAACCGAGACGGGCATTGGAGTGGTTACCCACAGGTCGAGAATGAAAGCGAGGACCCAAAGTCAAATGGTGGGTGACTTTAATGGAAGACTTTGGAAATCAGGTATCAGCTGTGCAAGAGAAGCGGGCACGGTGTGGTGGCATCAATGACATTGTCCATTAGCCACGATAACCTCTTGATCATCCCAATGTAGGATTTCCATCATTGCTTATCGAGTTGAGCTCCACCAAACGTCTATGTATTTGCACATACTAGCAATAATGATTGACATTTCTAAGGCGTATTTCATCCGTAAATTCCAAAATGCCACCGTGTATGGAAAGCAGGACATCAACAGAACCCGCAGGGTAAACGGCCAGAACTATGGAGGGTAAATGTCAGTTTGAAGAGGCCGAGTTTTCAACACGGGACTTAAATAGCTCCAAACATCTATGATCGTCTTCTTGCCAAAAGCAAAGCGTTTTGTCATACCACGACACCAGTGGAAGTCCCTAGTTAGTGAGCTTGGGCACATTATCTGTGCCCGGCTCGGCTCAGCTAAGCCGAAGCCCTTTGTGTGGGACGCCGCCCCACCTTTGATGATCACCAAGCGATGCAGAGGATTGCTGCTTGGTTTTCCAGTGCCAACTTTCCCCACCCCCTCCCTCGATGCAAAATTCAAATTGACCACTTGAGCTCAGACATTTTTTTTACATACTTTTCATTGGTTTAAAAAAAAACTTGTTGAAATTTGTCGCGCATTTTCTGCTCGAGTGAACGATGTAATTGTGCCTTGCCTTTTGACACCTGGCAGCCCTTGCATTGTGGGAGGGCAACAACCCATGTGATGTAAAATCTACGAAAATTGTGTAACTTTAAGTACACCTATTGTTTTGCGTTGTGCTGATGACAATGTATTTATACTCTATCGTCATCATCATAATCCATCGTCCATCTACTGCGGTGTGAAAGCCGTCCCAAACTGCCGCGATTATTCCTACAGGATCCAGCGTCACACTCTCTGTACATGAATGAAAATGGTTTTGCATTGGAATTGATACTATTATTATAATAGTCATCATATTGATCGTTTTATCAATAATAAAAAGTGGACAATTCGTTTTGCTCGTGTCAAAGGAGTAAACAATTGGATGACCTTTTAGCTTGTGAGCCTGAGCCTGCGGTGGAAACTCTATATTCCCTTGACAGGAGCCAGGATGTTCGTAGGTTGTTCCTCTTTGGTTGTTGGGTTGGATCGTGTAAGCATTGCAACCGCCTGATTGCGGGTCGAGTGCGCGAATCAAAGGGGGCCTTCTGGCCACAGGTCGTGTCTGTGTGTGCGTCGGGGTGAACGCCCTCCAACAGCAACGAAGGGCAGAGGAGCGATGCTCATAACAACGCACGGAGCAAGTTGGCACAGTAGGGGGGGTACAGATCGTGCACCTGCCAGTCATCTTAGTCAGACGAACCCATAGCACCTGCTGGGAGTGTCCCGTGACCTACTGCCGGCGGGCCGTCGATACTTCACGCGGCTTCAAAGTGCACCTGGCCTGGCACAGGCGCCGTGGTGAAGTCACCATCACTCAGTGGTGAATGGCGGGCGTTGGTATTGGTGTGAACGCTCATTTTGTGTTGTTTCCGAATGACTGTTTTGTCTCGCCTCCTCTGTCTTTCAGGGCCTTCGTGCCTCTCGAGCCACCCAGTGACACCAACTCGACGGAATGGCAAAAGTTGGCGTATCTGTTTGAGGAGCTCGGCAGCGGACGTGAGTATAGCGCGAACTCCGCCGGGCGTCGCGGTCGGTTCCATAAACGGTCATTCTCAGAAGCCGGCTCAGCTGTATCGGGCAGGGACCTTGAGCATTTTTTTTGTCGAGCGGGGAAGCGTCGAGATGCCTCGTTTCCAGAACATGTTGAATTTGTGCCAGACCATCGCCCTTGCTTGACCAGTTTCGTGCCCAAACTGCTCTCTGATCTCACGATTACAGCGCAATACAGCGTGGATTCTCGCCTGATTTTAATTTACATCGCGCCTGAAACAAGGCGCTTGACGTAGAATTTCTTGTTTGTACACCAGAATCGTGCGGTGAGATGAGACGAGTTGATGAGAAGGGGATGGTGGTGCGTGAAAACGATGACGCGTGAAATGATCCTTATGACGGTACCCCGGGGTACCAAATAATACAAAATGGCCGAGGCAATTAAATATTTTATTTCTGAGACACTATTTTTTCTAGGGGTATACTTCACTCCGCGACTGGGGTACCAATCAATCTGAAATCAGTGCCACTCCGCGATGTCGAAACGCAGCGAGGACGATTTCGCTGAAACCCTGAACGGTCGTACGCACCGTAGTGCTGCATCGTGTACAGCTCGTCGAGATGAGTCGATTGTCACATCGCCAACCATCAACAGACTAAAAACAAGTAAACCCGTAAAAACAAAGTTTTTCACTATAAATCCTTTATATGCGTGGCGGCTAGAGTCCTCTCGTCCTATGGCTTGAGATGGCTGCCACCTATAGGTCAGATGATTGTCTGCCACCATTAAGCAATTGGTAATTAAATATTTAATTTGTTTTCCCTAGACAGTGTAAAATTTTGGATTTTTTTTTCATGAAAATTAATTGTCACACACAACGAGTCTGTGTGGAAAATGTCAGCTCGATTGGATCACGGGAAGTGGGTTAAAAAACGAGCGAAAGATTTGCACGGTCCTAAGCAAGCAAGCAAGCACGCAAGCAAGCGAACTTAATATAAAGGATTTAATGACTGCATCACGGACATTACGCGAGAGCCGGGGTACTATGGTACCACGGGGTATCGCCATAAGGTTAAAATAAACAATGAAAGTGACAATGAGTGGGTGTGATGAATGGGTCGGTAAGTTGGGAAGAGGGATGGAGTTTGCACCTGCGGTTAGCACGGTTGGTTACGTACGGTGGGGAAGGAGTTCAGCATACATACAAAATTATGGGGAAGGGAGGAGGGGAAGTTTGGGCAGAGAGGGGATGGAACGGTGGCGCAATGGTTAGCAATTTGCGCGAGGAACCCCGTGACCCGATTGATTCCCGGCCACATCTAAACATATCTGAACTCGTCCTTTGCAGCCTTAGCATCAACCCATACTCACCAGAGGGGTGAAGTATGGTCAAACCATCCTCATGACGGAAAGACATAGGGGAAGGCCTTTATGTAGTAGCGGATAGACAAAAATAGCTGTAGATGACTGTTGCGTTAGTGGTGCCTAAGCACAACAGTGGGACGTGCAACACGGGATAAGGGAGGGGTATCGGAACCAGAGTGATATCTCGATTAATCTGGGGTAATTTCGGGGGTTGGGCGGTGGCCCGGATAAAACTAAAACATGGATAATGCATATCATGTGTAAATTATGCTATAAACTCTTATTTATTGTTCACCTACGTGCAATCGGGGTTAAGATGTAGAATGTGCCGTCTGTTTTTATTGTTTCTTGAAGTAATGGTTTTTGCGGGCCCGTGAGTCACTGAACAGCAGTGAGTAAGGAGCAGCGAGCAGCATCTGTGTGGAAGTGTAAGGAGATATAATTTTTCACAAGCCCGGTCAATCCGTAACCCAGATAATCTGCCCATTGATAATCAAGGGGTAGTGCACATTTTCTTTGATTAAGGAACGAGCTCTTTGGCTGGAGGAGAGGATGAAAGCCTGGAGCCTGGACAGAAACGAGGGGAATCCACAGTGTGGGAAGGAATTCTAGACCGGGGAGTCAGCAGAGGAGAAGGGGTGTGACGTCTCACAGAGCAAAAGGTTTAACTTGGGGCCTTGACACAAGGCCTTGGTTGCTGGAGTTGGAAGGGGGAAAGTGGAGCAGCGTGCACGGCGAGAGGTAGGCCAGGAGCGAGTTGAGGGAATCTGGGAGTTGATCTGGGACTTCATTCGGAGCTATTGGAGGGATCAGAGTATTGTGGTGTGATGTGGTCTTGTTTATAGGCACAGGTGTGAGAAGTCTGGCAATGGAATTATGGATCATTTGGTGATTGAAGATGAGGGATTCGAGGATAAATCGTGACGCTTGATGATAAGGCGGGCGTTGAAACGCCCATTTCGCTATCAACTTGAAATGCCGGACGTTGGATCGACTCGCCCCATTACCTCTCCATGGCCGATAACATAGTACCGGTCCCTCTAAAATATAATAAAAATCGTCCTGTGGATGAACTCACTCTCGCTGTAGGAACGTGGAATTTCCCACCACTGGCTGAGGGACACCGATAAAGACTGCGGCTGGCCGACGCTAAATTTCTCGCTCGTTCGAGGAAGGGAGTCGGGACGGTTTTGTTCGTCGTAATTGTCAAGGAAGTGCTCGGCTTGCCACGGCAAGGTGGCTGGGCCCTTTGTGTTCTGGTCTTTGCTGGAGCCAAAGTGTTCGGATCCACCGCGACTGCTCAGTTTTTAGCATTTCCACCGCATCGGCATGCGAGTTGCTGTGAGGAAAACGGCACTCTGCCTCCACGGCAAAAAGTTAAAACTAAACCATTTTATTATACCATGTAAGGCCCACTGAGCTATATAGCTCTTTTTTCTCCGAAGCGACCTGGCTATCACAAATGATAGCCCAATGAAGTGGATTATCATCACGTGGAAATTTATAGCGGCAAAATACTCAACGCGCGATGTTGATTCTAAATGCGGAGGGAAAAACCGGAGGACCCGGAGAAAAATCCTCGCGACCACGGAGAGAAGATGCAAACTCCAAATATACAGCCGCTGTGGTCAGGATCAGACCCACGACTTCCTGTATACCGGGCGAGGTAGTTAACATCTGGCCACCATTAGCGATCCAAAAAAGGTTTTCTCGGGGAGCCATAATACAAAGCGGGGGGGCCGCGCTTGTGAAAATAGTTGTACTCTATTTAGCGCCAGCATTCTGTCTGTGAGTGCTAAAGCTTTGTCAGCTGTTGCAGTGTTTAGTGTGGACTATACGTACGTGTGCATGCTTGTGTGTACTTACCTACTAGGGTTGCATACCCTTGATCGAAGCAATTCCAGGTGATTATTTTTTTCTTTCTCCAACAACGTGGCATAATGTCATTAATTGTACCGTATGGCTCGTTCACAATATCAAGCCATTGCGGTATTGTGTGTGGAGTGTTAGGAGTACCATTTACATATGTACACAAGTTATATACCGTACTTATACACCATTAAGATATCACCTTTTGAAGCTTGATTAAGAAATACTACAAAACTAGGTTAGGTGAAGAATGTACGGTATTATTTCGCAAACGTTACTCTCTTGATATGCCCCTCACCACCGCCATTTATGTTTTTTGCGGTTTAGTTTTGAAGGTGTTACTGAAATAGCGAGAGTAAAAAGTAGGCACGAGGTAAGAATTTAATACATGAAACAAAACGTGTTTCCATGAAGACAACTTCAATGTCATTTTTGTGTACGTGCGTATATATACTGTACACATGCTTTTTTGCAGCTAACTTTACAGCTGAATTACGGTTGTACTTCCTACTTAATTTCCAACTACTTAGTTTGTTCTTATGAACGCATTAATTTGGCCGAAAACTTTCTCCCATGAATATTTAAACATAAATCTGTTGCAAGTTAAAACTAGCGTACTTTGAAGATGTTATCCAAACTAAGATAAATTTTACCAAGCTGAAACTCGGCACTATTTAATCCGAATAAACCATTATATATATTTTAAAGGCTCGTGCTTCTGCTTGAGAGCATTCTACGTTGTCACTTTTACGAGCACACCACGGACGAGGAAACTGCTCTGTGACGTACGGCTTTTGTGAAGCTAATTTCAGTTTTATTTCCGTTTCATGGCAAAGAAATGGCAGTTACACCCACCGCCTGAATTGACAAATCTCATCGTGTTTCGTAAACTTTGAAAGTGATTTCCGCGGGAACTGTGAATGCCCATTGTCAAGGCAATTACCTCGAGTCACGCAAAGCATTCGCCCCGACGGCTGGATGCAACAATTGTAAAAGTCTCTCTCGAGACCGCACTTGTTTAATTATTTACCAGTTTGTTGTTGTTGGATTTTTTTTTTTTTTACCGCGATTTCTGAATAATGTTTGCAAAAACCTGTCGGCCACTTTCCGGTAACGAGGAAAGATGACTGCAAGGAAATTTCCTTCATATGGAGACACACACACACACACGCGTGTTGATGAATAGCCTTCGGTTAGCCTAAGAGATGGCTGGGGCAAGTTACGTCAGCGAGCGTCTATTAAGGTTGGCGGATCTTATATCGTATGACTTATAGTAGTAGCGCCACATCACGCGGCAACCATACTATCCACCATCTTACACATACTATCCACCATCTTACACATACTAAGGCAAAGCCAAATATCCCCCGTATCGCCTTCACAAATTGTTCAGGCAAATGCTGTTAGCAAGCACCAATGAAGGGTGGCAAGGGCACACGAGGGGGTGGGTGGCCTGCACCACGCCTGGCTGTCTTTGTCTCCCTCGTGGCGATGATTACACACTGCACCAGGTTCTCATTTGAGGTTGAGTCGACATAGGCGGAAGCTCAGGACCATTTTGGATAAGTATCACTTGTTTTGGCCGTGAGTGGGAATCGATGTCTGGTCGCCTCCTACATCCTTGACAGACTTTGGGGGCATGTGCTGGTAGCAATCACCTATGAAGGCCGGCATGGCACACAAAGGGGTGGGTGGCCAGCACCATGCCTGGCTGCCTTTGTCTCCCTCATTTGGATGTATACACATCGCACCAGGTACTCATTTAAGGCTGAGTCGACCTAGGGGAGGTCCAGGCTCGATTCAGATAATCGTCGCTGGTGTTGGCTATGAGTGGGAATCGAACTCGGGCCGTCCGGGTTTGTAGCGCGAGCGTGCTACCACCCCGCATGGACATGCAAAGACAAAGATCTCCCGGAATGCCTTAACAGACAGACATACAAACAGACACACACACACAATCACGATTCCTCAAGCCGAAATGTTATTGCTTAAAAAGTGGAATTAAAGCATCCTTAATCCTCTGGGTAACCTGGCCAGGTGGCACAGTGGTTCGAGGATTTGACTGACAACCCGGGGGGTGAACTTTGCCCATAACTCCTCCGGGGACAACAGTATTTTTTTCTCTCTCACGAACTGACCTTTTAGCACACGGGAATTTTGGAATCTTCACCATACCGCCAGATGGTTGACGACAGAGACCAGCGTCTCCCCCCCAGGGCTCGTTTGAGCAGCGACACACTTTGACCTGGGCTCGATCCCGGGGGCAAGGAAGTCGAGGAAATTGGTCAACGCGGCTGGACCGATGGGACGTCCACTTTGGCGGGTCTCTGTCCTCGATGTCAGTTGGGTTTCCTGTGTTGTAGACCTCTCGATTAGCACGGTTGGCTTCGTACGGTGCGAAAGAGGTTCAACATACAGGCAGTCCCCGGGTTATGGAAGGGTTAGGTTCCGAAGAACCGTAACCCGAATTTTCCGTATATCGGAAACTGAACAATTTCCCCCCCAAAATCAACAATAATATCCGATGGCCGGAAATAGTTGTGCCTCCCCTACCCGATTCCTAGTTCGTTTTCCCTCAGTACTGTATGAGTTCTGTGTGCTACAAAATTAAAAGAATTACGTCACACTACAACAAATTCCATTTAGCATAGTCCTCGTGAAGCTCGGGCTCGGTGAAGGCGGCGTTTTCCCGGTATTCATCCGCGACCTCGCAGCGCCACACTCCTTGCGCTTGTGTAACTATTGCAAACATTTCCGCACGTTGAATTTTTTTTTAACACGAATTATTGTAGCATTTCTGTACAGTCAGGCCTTCCGTAATCCAGGGGATTGCCTCTACGTTCATTTCAAACTAACAGCTCATTCCGAATACCAACTGCATACAGTGATTCAAACAGAATGAAGCACATCCATATCCTCACCACGTGCACTCTATCCACATGGTGATGTTCATAGAGATGATGATGATGATAATGGTGATGGTATATAACACGCATGTTGAAACACGCGTGGTTTCCTGTTGCAATCTTTTACCAACAAGAATACCGACTGTGTGTACGTGATGCATCGTAAACCGCTGATGTTTGTCGCAGTGAATACGCAGCGTCTCAAACATTGAGGCCCTGTGTGTGTGTGTCACCCTGTGTGTGTGTCACCCTGTGTGTGTATGCATAGCGAGTGGGAGCGGCAGTGTAGCGCTTAGCGCGCTGCGCTACGAACCCGGCGACCGAGTTCGATTCCCGCTCACGGCCAATACCGGTGACGATTATTTGAACCGGTCATGGGCCTCCCCTAGGTCGACTCAGCCTCAAATGAGTACCTGGTGCAGTGTGCGAACATCACCACTAGGGAGACAAAGGCGGCCGGGCGTGGTGCTGGTCACCCACCCCCTCGTGTTTTGTGCCGGCCTTCATAGGTGCTCGCTAACAACACTTGTCCCAACAGTCTGTTAAGGCTATACGGGGGATCTTTGCCTTTGTTTATTTGCTCAGCGAGTGCTACAAATTACTTGTCAAAACATGAATAGGTGTGCAAATTTGTGTTTGTATGCGTATATCTGCAGACCAGCGTCACCTCTCTTATATATTTTTTTTACAATTCCTGCTTATAATTCGCACATGCACGCGAGCATATGCAGGGGTGAGTTTTGTATCCAACAAATTGTCAGGTTTTTTATGGTTATTTTTAGGGGACAATTTCAGATCTTTGCGCAGACATTCCAAGTCACTTCTAGATTTGAAGCTTTCGTGACTGCAAGGATTCATATTCTTAGGTTTTTCGCTAAAGTCACGTAGGTAAAAATTAAAATAAATAAAAGTAAAATAGAAATAAAATACAAATCACGACGTTTCGGAGGCAACACAAGCTTCCGTCTTCAAGTGGAACCGTCACAGCACGATAGCTGTATCACAGCACGATAGCTGTATCACGTGATACAGAAATCGTGCTGTGACGGTTCCACCTGAAGACGGAAGCTTGTGTTGCCTCCGAAACGTCGTGATTTCTATTTTATTTTTATTAATTTTAATTTTTTACCTACGTGACTTTACCGAAAAAAACCTAAGAATGTTCCAAGTCACTTCCGCGTCACGTACCAAGGCGCGGATGCCTTCGTGCTGACGACGATGGCGATGCTAACCGACTCGACGCGTGGCCACTTTCTGCGGTAAAAAAACCTGAGTAAGTAACGTTTGTATTCGGTGATGTCACTTTCGGTTTATGAGTCAATCCGAAACAATAAAACATTCTGGAATCGTTCCAAATTACGTAGCGAAGCCTGATTTTTTTCAACACTTCCTGATTCAAAAATGGAGAGCACATGCCTCATCTGTACTCTATCTTCACACTTGCGTTGCATTTACTGCATACTTATAAGAGGTGTTCGCAATTCGGGATGTCACGATGTCAAGTCCCAGTCACTTACTGACTTGGCCTATGATTCATTTGAGGTGGATATCATTGGTGGTACCACTTTGCATCCAATCCATCAACATTGATAATTATCTTTTAAATTCTCCCCTGCCCCACCATGGGAATGTGGAATTTTTGCCGCTTGTTCAAGGAGGCAAATAATCTGTTGGTTCGCTCATATCGTCTTGTCTCTGTATAATAAAAACAAATTGGAATTGTGCATATTTATATCTAGACAGAAATAACCTTTACGATTCCTAATTAATTAGACTTACCAGCTATGCAAATAGTTTCCAATTAGTGTCATTAGGTGATTAAAAGTGAGGTGCACATATTTAATTATGAATGTTGAGGTTTACCAGTTCGTTTGTTATGGTTTTTCTTGTGTAGGAGAAGAGCCTGGAATGGTGACTCACCTCAGTTGTGTCGCTTGGTTTGCGTGCTGTGCTACAAACCCGGCGGAGCAAGTTCCATTCCCGGATACGTCTTAAAATCAGTGACAAGGAGGATCTGAACCTGTCTGGGGCTTTGCCTAGATTGACTCCGCCGCCTTAAACGAGTACTTGGCACAGTGTATAAGCAGCAGCACCGGGGCGATCTTTAAACACCGTGGTTATGGCCACACAACATTCGCATTTGCCATGCCGGCCTTAATAGGTACACTCCATTGGGCCTTGCCTCAACAGTCTATATGGCTAACGCCCAGGGTGATCGTTGTCTTTGTGTGGAAGTGCAGTGGTTCGTACAATCTGCTATGATTCTAGTGGCCCGGGTTTAATTCTTTGCCATGGATGACATCAGTGGCAAAGGCTATCTGAACATATCCTGGCCTTCCCCTAGGTTAACTCCACCTTAAATTAATACCTAGCCTGGGAAATAAATAGTCAGCACTGGTAGGTGCTCATTTACAGCATTTGCCCCAGCAGTCTATGAGGCTATACGGGATTCTTTGGCTGTGCGTGCACAGTTCGCAGAGCTGAGATTTTAAATTGAAATTAAAAGCGAACTTAAATGAACCGACTAGCATTGCCAAGGCAGTTTCTCATCAGGTTATTCAATTAGCGTATAAAATTCCATCCTGTAACATTGTGGTTGCTTGAGCAACAGAGACAGATGACACCTTATACCCATACAATAATTACGCATGTGTGTGTAGGCGCTTGTTTTGATGCGTTTGCATTGCACATTTGTACAACTGAGTGGGTGCGTGTATGCATGTTAATGTGAATTCTTGAGATAAAATGCTGTGCTTTATTATTGGCTCTGGAGGAACGATGATATTCTGCGTTAACCTTGGACCAGGATGTTGAACTCTTAACCTTTTTGGCACGACGAACTCTGAGCCACGACATCGCCCAGTCAGATGAACAGCAGTGGCAGTAATTCACCCTTATTTAGAAGCAGGAGAGATCTCGGAGAGAAGTTTCATTTCTTGCTTGGCCGTTAACTTCTCATTCATGGCCAAAGGGCCTCCCCTCCAATGTCTCCCACTCTTCACAAACTCTGCCCACTTCCATCCAGTGCCCTCCAAATCATCTCCCTTCTCCTCAAGCCATCTCATTCACCTCCCACGAGCCTTTGCTACGTTGTTCATTTTGCCAACCTGTCATGTGGTGTCCTAGCTAGGTGCCCTATCCCATCTCCATTTCAGCTTGTTTCACTTTGTAAATTACATATTATGCTACTCTTCTCATACACAATGGTCCATACATTCAATATTTAAACATATATTCTTTGCGAGTACGGAATGTGTGTTTGTGTGAATATATGGCGGTGCATCTGAAAGCTATGCATGTGTGTCTGCATTTATATTTTTGTTTCTGTGCATATGCAAGTCTCTGTGATCGTATCTTTAGTGTCCTTACGTAAATATATGTATACCTGTAAATGTGTCTGCTTGAGTGCGTGTGTCCGTGTATATATTCTTGTGTGCATGCGTGTGTCTGCTCACGTGGATACTGTGTGCATTGGCAATCTGTTTATTGTGTCTGCGTGTTTAGACCTGTGTGAATGTGTCCCGTGTAGCCATTTAGATCGCTCACGGAAGCATTTGTGTTCGTGTGTGTATGCACACCGTGCGACTGTGTGACTGTGCGTGTGTGCGTGCGTGTGCGTTGCTCATCACAGATGGTGTGGACGCGTTGGCCTTTTCCATAAGCACCTTGACGCTGGCCGGAATGCTGTGCCTCATCATCTACACGGTAAGAGAGTTGCACCGTTTGCCGCCACCACCGCCACTTTCTGTCACTCACTCCCAACCTCGCCGGGAACCCCGCGGCCACTCTCAAAGTCCCAACCCACCAATTTCCGTCCTGATTCACCGTGCCAATGTTTCCCACGCTGCCCCCCCCCCACACACACACACTACCCGTGATGCATGACTCCGCCTATTCTCATCCCCTCCTGCACCCACGCCTCTCCCCCATCCTCCCTGTCTCTCTCTCTAAACTCTGTCAGCTCTCAGCGCTCACTTTTCCTCCCTCTCGCCTATTTCCAATTCCCTCTTTGACCCCCCCCCTCCCCCATTTTGCATTTCCCCACACGAAGAAAAAGAGTGTGTTGCACCATTTAGCAATATTTACAGTCCAGTTGGAGGTGTTGTATTTTCCCAACGCACAAAACACAAAGATGCCCCATTCAACCTCACGTAGGCGCAAGTGTTGTTCGCGAGCATCTATAAAGGGCAGCGTGGAGCATGTGAGAGAATTGTGTTCATAATACCATGACCATCCACCTCTGTTACCAGTACTGGTGTACGCAAAAATCACGTACCTGAATAAAGCAGTCAATTTAAGGGCGAGTCATCCTAGGATATTCCCAAGCCAGGATTAGATCACAGTTGCCACTGTGCTTGTGATGTGTTTTTGCCAGGAATTTAACGCAGATGCGTTGTGTTGTAGTGCACTGTGCTCTCTGCGATGCCAACAACCCTGTACTGTCTACAAAGACCCCCCGTATTGCCCGAACAGACTGTTGGGACAAGTGCTGTTAGCGAGTAGCACCTATGAAGGCCGGCACGGCACACGAGGGGGTAGGTGGCCAACACCACGCCCGGCCGCCTTTGTGTCCCCAGTGGCGATGTTTAAACACCGCACCAGGTGCTCATTTCAGGCTGAGTTGACCTAGCAGACGCCCAGGACTGGTTCAGATAATCATCACTGGCATTGGCCGCGAGCGGGAATTGAACTCCTGGCAAGACGATAGCGCAATGCGCTAACCACTGCGCCACCGCAGATGGACACAAAGACAACAACAACAACCGCCATTCACCACTAAGTGGTGGTGACGTCACCACGACGCTTGTGCCAGGCCATGTGCACCTTGGACACACACATAGATGGACACAAAGACACACACATGGACACACACACAGACGGAGACAAAGACACACACATGGACACACACACAGACGAATGCAAAGCCACCAGAGCTTGGCCCCAACTTCTCGCGTGACGCGCTCCTTGTTACCGCAGCCGCCTCTGCGGTTCCTCTCTTTCCTGACGGCGGCAGCAGAAGCAAGCGCGGTAATTTATACCCAGGGGCCAAATTTAACCTCTGTCCCATGCGCGACTGTCACCCGATTATAATTGCCTTTCACATTGCTCCTGCAGTGGGGTGAAATGCTATGGTGGGTGGCGGGGGATAGGGGGGGGGTGCAACGGTTAGAGCGCTCTGCTACGAACCCGGCGACCGGAGTTCGATTCCTCCGCTCACGGCCACCAATGCCGGTGATGATGATCTGAATTGGTCCTGGTCCTCGCCTCGGTCGAATCGGCCTCATGTGCCGTGACGGCCTTCATATGTGCTCTATAGCCGCACTTGCCTCAGCAGTCTGTGAAGGCTATGGGGGGGATCTTTGTCTTTGTTGGTGGGGAAGAGGTGGGCGGTGTTGGAAGCAGACCTTAATCAGCTGCTCCGAGAAGGGAAACGGTTGGCGGTCTCGTTCGCACCGCACGAGCGTAGCCCGGCTCCACGTTCGCCTTTGCCGCTCGCGATCGAGCAGAGCTCAAGATGGTCGCCTCGTGATTGCCCAGCCTCACAGCCAGTAGTTTGTCTGGCTCTGTGTTAAACTAAACGACTAAACTGTTTCTGTTATTTTAGCAGGTATGGCCCGCTGAGCTGTTTATCTCTTCTTCAGAAGTGACCTGGCTATCACAAATGACAGCTCGACAAAGTGGCTTATTGCGTGGAAAGTTAGAGCGGCCAAATACTCTGGACGCATGTTTCTAAATGTGGAGGGAATAGCTAAAATTATACAGGCGTCAGGGTCGGGATCGAACCCATAACCTACTCCCTACCAGGCGCGAGAGATAGAGAGAGTTAACATTTAGCCCAACGTGTGTACATGCTGCAGTATAAAACCATAAGGCGTTTCGATTTTACGCCCACTGATCATGCAGGCTGCAAGTTGCAGGCAGGCTGCTGTGTCCTCGCGAAGGTGCTTTAATGTACGCATGTTTGTATGGATGTTGAACTTCTTTCGCACCGTACGTAGCCAACCGTGCTAATCGGAGGCGAAACTTTCAGAATTGCCAGGTGTGGTGGCACATGGCTGTGTTCCAGCACCAATTGGTGGATCACTTTGACCTCATTGTATTCCGTAATGCCCACTCCACCGAGTGATGTGACTTCGTGAGCTTATTGTTTAGATATGTTAAACATGTTACTTTAAGCGATTGACTTTGGGCAGGACACATCGCTTGCTACATGGGAGTTGATGGTTGAGACTCTGACAATGGAGTTCACCCAAAGGATGGCAACATGCCCAAAAGGATGAATGGGCGCATGTGCGGAAGCTCCGTGTAAAGTTGCATCTCAAGACTCCGTGAGGAATGGTAACGGCTTGGGGGGGGGGGGGGGAAGGCTTACATCCAGCAGTCGATAGAGCACTGCTGCTCGTGACTTGGTTTTACATGCTCTTTCCTTTGCTGCCGATTGCATCTGGCCTCGATTGCCGAAGCGATACGTCGTCGTGAGATGTATTTAATCGCAGAGCTGAATTAACATGTCGGGGACAATGCAACTTCCACGACCATTTGGCATAAAATGGCCTCATTGTCACTCTCCACGCGAACATAATGACGAAAGACGTTTGTCAGCGTGTAATGTAAAAATGAAACGCATTTGTGTTGGCGCTGCGTGCGGCTGTGATAATGAGAGACGTGTTTGTCACGCAGGGCAGTGCGCTGTGGTTGTTTACTTGGTATTTATCGTGAACACGTGGGGGGTGAATCGGCGTCGCCCGCGGAAGTGCTCCCCGTGTTCAATTAGTCTTTTGGTTGATGAAATAAATGCAAACTTGAAGATAACACGTTATGAATGTATCGTAAATTTCGATTTAAAGCTTTCGTGACTGCAGGCATTCATCTTCTTGGTTCTTTCGGTAAAGTCACGTAGAAGGGAAATAATAAAATAATAAAAATAAAACATAATAAAATAATTCTCACAACGTTTCGGCCACAAGACAGCGTCTGAACGTTGTCTTTCCGACAGCCCTGTTCTTCACCTGAGGACGGCTGCTTGCGTTGTGTCCAGCATGTGCAAAACGTTGTGCGGAGGAAACTTATTTTTTACATTCTGGTACAACCCCTAGACCGACGGAAGCAAAGTTGAGTTGTCTGGACTTCCTGTAAATTAGGTAATTGAGCCATTTTAGGTGACCGCTAAGGATCTATATTACCAACGACTATTCCACTGCTCCCACCATCTGTTCAGACGAGTGAGTGGTTCACTCTTTCAGTGTGACTTGTAGGTGGTTGTTGGTGGATCGCACAGAAATGTAAGCTTTGTGAGACACCGGCATTTGGGATCATAATGGGGCACGTGTCGGAGGCAGGAGCGCAAGTTGGTTCCTTTCGGTCCGTTGAGATAGACTTTGAGTGTTACTTACCCCCTCGTTGTATGTGTAATGGGTTCCGGAGACACTTTGTAGATGCAACTTCTTTATTACAATACACCACTCCAACAGTCCTGATATACTGTTACAGCCTAGGGACACAGCCTACTTTTAGCGAGCCTGACACTGGCTACGCTCTCGGGTCCTCCGGCTACAATTACCCTAGGAGAGGCTACCTGAACCGACCCAGCCAAGGTGCGGGTCTAGACTCTGGCTTCCTCGGACCTCACCCTTACAAGGGCAAAGGGCCGGGAGTCCCAGAGTCCCACCACTGGCCCGCACAGCGTCCCGGCCCTCACAAGGACAAGCGGGGCGTGGGGGTCCAGGGTCTTAAGCTGGCTGGTCTTCGTACTTCACCTGCGACTGGTCCCGATCGGCTGGGGAGGTCCCCTTTTATGCCCCTTTGCCCATCGAGGGGTGGCATTGCGTGGGATCGTAGATCCCCCGCAACGCCCCCGTTGGTGGCGCCGAGGGGATTACCTGTCTGGGGTCCTGAGCCCCCAGCAGCCCCTCCCCTCTTGGGCTTGCACGGCAGCCCCTCCCCTGGCGGTACGGGGTACCCTTGCAGATGGGCCCCATCTACCACTGCCAGTAAGCGTGGCCCATCTACGGCACTACATATGCGTGGAGTTTCCCTCGCATGCAAAAGAACAAAAAAATATAAATGCAAAATATTAGCTTCCGGCTCTAATGAGCATCCGGCACTGTTCATTTCTTCTGATATCCCTCAGACGTTGCTGGAAATGCCATATTCCCTCTGTTGGGGTTCAGTCTCTCCCTCTGCAGAGCAACGACTGCTGATATCTGACAAAATGGAACTTTATTATTGAGCCGATTGTCGACTGAGGTTTGAGATTCGAGACATTCCATTTGTGAGTTGAGTGCTCGTTCACAACGCTTCCCGTCCAGACACAAATTACCCTTTCCTTTTCGCTGAGCCACTAGAAATTAGGTAGACTCCTTGGTTCTTTCGGTAAAGTCATGTAGAAAGTAAAAAAAATAATAGAATACACGACGTTTCGTTTGCAACACAAGCAACCGTCATCAGGTGTGAAAGAATGCAAGCTCGGAGAGAGAGAGAGAGAGACAAAACACAGACACAGAGATAGACACACAGAGAGAGAGACACAGAACAAGGCCTCTGTGGCGAGGCATTATATAGAGAGGAGGGGTGGGGCAGAAAAAGTCAACATTCCCTATCACCAGTGATAGTGAATGTTTTCATGGAGAAATTTGAAACAGATGCTATCCAGACATCCACCCTACGTCCTTCCTTGTGGAAGAGATATGTAGATGACACTTTCG